GTGCATGTATGTGCATGTGTGTGCATGTATGTGCATGTGTGTGCATGTATGTGCATGTGTGTGCATGTATGTGCATGTGTGTGCATGTATGTGCATGTGTGTGCATGTATGTGCATGTGTGTGCATGTATGTGCATGTGTGTGCATGTATGTGCATGTGTGTGCATGTATGTGCATGTGTGTGCATGTATGTGCATGTGTGTGCATGTATGTGCATGTGTGTGCATGTATGTGCATGTGTGTGCATGTATGTGCATGTGTGTGCATGTATGTGCAGGTGACTGACATAGTGCAGCATGCCATGGCACCCTTCCTCTCCAAGGTAACGCCCCCACCCGCCCTCGCTTCTCACGCCTTTCTCAAGGCACACCCGCCGCATCTTCTTGGCACCTCTCCACACACGCTGCCATAACTTGCTGCTCGTGCTGCCCTGGCAGCACTCTCATCATCCAAACGACTACCTAATTTTCCGGTTTTCCCGTTTTCTTCTCAACACTGCACCAGTATCTCCCCCCATCGCACCCTCCCGCATCCCAAGCCCCTCACTCGCACCTCACTTCTCCTCTTCACCTCCTCTTCTCCCATCTTCTCCTCTTCATCTCCTCCCGCCACTCTTTCTTCAGCTGTCAGGGCGGGAGGTGGAGCGCATGCGAGGGCGGTTGGTGAGGGAGGTGGTGGGGAAGGAGGCGGTCAAGAGCCGGCAGCGCACCCACCAGGTGAGCTGGCAGCGCACCCACCAGGTGAGCCGGCAGCGCACCCACCAGGTGAGCCGGCAGCGCACCCACCAGGTGAGCCGGCAGCGCACCCACCAGGTGAGCCGGCAGCGCACCCACCAGGTGAGCCGGCAGCGCACCCACCAGGTGAGCCGGCAGCGCACCCACCAGGTGAGCCGGCAGCGCACCCACCAGGTGAGCCGGCAGCGCACCCACCAGGTGAGCCGGCAGCGCACCCACCAGGTGAGCCGGCAGCGCACCCACCAGGTGAGCCGGCAGCGCACCCACCAGGTGAGCCGGCAGCAGCATGGGCAGCAGGTGAGCAGCGTGCAGCGTGGGCACTAGGTGAGTAGCGTCGAATGCTATGGGGCTCCACTCCACACTCACCAGCACTTGTGCCGCAACAACACCGTCTATTGTCTTGGTATCTGTGGCTGCTCCCATGGGAGCAGTGCATCCCGTCCCGTGGCCCCACTGTCATGCACGCATGCCCCCTCCATGACCTGTGCTTGCATCTCCCTCACAATGCGCCTCCCTCCCCTCTGTGAACCCTGCTGGCATATCCCCTAGTGCGTGTCCCTCACAACGCATGACTCCCACAATCCGCGTGTGCCTCATTATGCGTCTCCATCCTAATGCACCTCGCTGAATGCATCTCTGCTGTGATGTGACTCGTGCTTGCTCTGGTGCCATGGCAGGGAGCGGTGCGGCCAATAGAGGAGCGCCCATTGAGGGAGAAAGTGTCTGCCTTTGTGCGTCAGCACATCGCCGTTTACCTGCAGAATCGACCATCAATATGATGATAAAAATGGCGATATAGGGCAACATGTATTGCTAATTGTATAGATTGCAATGTATAGAAATTAGCTAACATTAGATAAGCTAGTATCTTTCTGTGTAGCTTAGCTTAGATCCAGGTATACCATGTGCATCAAGGTAGAATGCTATTGAGACCTCGCATCTGCCTTGCCAGCTTATGCCTTTTCAGAACATTCAACCGTTGTATATCCCGATTCAAATGTTTTGGATCTCGAAGCACCTCCCCGAATCGTATGAAAGTGAACGCCACCAGCAGATCTGCCAACAGATCCAGCACCAGACCTAGCGTGGCATTTCGTGAATTCAGAGTCCTGTCGCTTTCCACCGCATCGATCGCCTAGTCCCGCGCGTACTTCGCCTCTCGCCGCATCTCCCGCCATCCGCACGGCTTGACCCCTGCCTCCTCGCGTCCCCGCCACAGATCGTCGCACCGTGCCGGCCCAGCAGCTGGTTCTCTGATCAGCTTCTTTATCCGTCCGCTTATCTGTTCGCACGCGCGCTGCGCTCCGCGTCGTCGCGGGAAGAGCGGCGGGCGGCATGTCGGCGATGTCGGACAACGTGGGGCAGTACGGCCGCATCGGCACCGTGCCGGTAATGCCGCGACCCCACAGCTTGCTCCGCCGCCGCTCGTACTGCCGCTTGCGTCGCCACGCCCTTACCCACCACTGCACCCGCTGCGCGCTGTCGACCTGCCCCTCCCAATAAACCAACGCCCGTCACATGTTTCGCCCAGCGTCCGTTCCCTGCTCGCTGCTCTCTTCTCTCTGCGCTATCCTCTTTCCTCTGTGCGTCACTCACCCGCATCGCGTCTTCCCCTCACCCCATCCCCCATCTCCATGCACTGCCACGCCCCCTCGCTCAATCGCCCAAATCCCTCTCAGGTGGCCCAAGGAGCGGAAGTCCCTCTAACGCACCCAGGTATGTCCGTATAACGAGTATGTCTGGTCAGCGCGCCCACATTCCTGTATCCAGCATCGCACGTGACTGCAGCAAGCTATGTCCGCCCCTCGCACCTCCCATCCTCCTGCTGCTCCCGCCCCTCTGTTTCCTATCCCTCCGCTCCCCACATCCCTGCTCCTTACCGCTCTGTACCTCTCCCCATATACGCCCATCCCCTCTCTCCTACCCCATCCCCTCTCTCCTCCCCCATCGCCCTCCCTGCCCTGCTGTGCGGCAGAGTTCCCCTACACGCCTGAGCCAGCAGCCAGCAGGGGATCAGGTTAGTGCATGCAGTGTGGTGGCATGGTAGCATGTCAATGCGTGCGCTGCTTGGGCGCACAGCAATACCTTCTCTGCCTCGTGCCATTCCCCTGCCTCTTCACCCCCTCCCCCATCATCCCGCCTCCACTGCACCCTCCTCGGCCCCAACCCTCCTCCCCATCCCCTCCCTCTCCCCCTCCCCTCTTCCCTTCCCCCTCCCTTCCACCGACCCCCCCCCCCTCCCATGTGCCCCCCAGACACCTTCTCGTCTACCGCAGGAGGGGGGGGTGCGTCCCTGCCGCCGCCCCCGGTGGGCATCTGGGGCGTGTTCACTGTGGCGTTCTACCGCCCCTTCTTCGATGTGGACACTGCTGACGTGGCGGAGCGAGTGAGGGACGCGCTCATGCCCTTCCCGCGCTCCGCCTTCCTCGAAAAGACGGCCCTCAACCCGGACATGTGTGTGAGGGGAGGGATGTGAAGCTGGGCATGTGAGGAGAGGGGTGTCAACCCCGACATGTGAGGAGAGGGGTGTGAAGCAGGGCATGTGAGGGGAGGGGTGGCAATCCGGGCATGTGAGGATAGGGCTGTGAAGGCGGACATGTAGTAACACCACTCACATCTACGCACCCACTACCCTCCCACCCGTACTCACCCCTCACCAAAACTCCTCCCCCCCCCCCCCCCCCCCCCCCCCTCCCCCCTCCACACCCATACAACAGCTACGGCCCGTTCTGGATCTGCACGACGCTCGTGTTCCTGTCCGCTTCGCTGGGCAACCTCGCGAGCTACCTGAGCTACGCTGCCTCGCCGTCGTCAGGCTCAGAGGAGCACTGGCACTACAACATCGACGCCGTCAGCTGGGCCGCTGCCATCTTCTACGGCTATGTGGCCATAGTGCCGCTGCTGCTCTTCTTCCTCCTGCGCTACCTGCAGGTACTACCCGCACTGCTGCTCTGCGCTATCCGCAACACCTGGAGTCGTTCCCTCTGACTTGGATGGACTGCTGATTGGAATCCCAGCCACTGCAGGCAGAGTGCTGTTCTCTGTTGAGCGCTGCTCATTTGGTTAGCAACAGCGTTTGATCAATGCCCCTTTCTGCCTTCCCGTGCATGGTGTGTGCATGGGATGTGTGTGGAGTGCGTGTGGCGTGCATGTGGTGTGTGCGTGGCATGTGTGACGAGTGCGTGTGGCGTGCATGCGGTGTGTGCATGGCATGTGTGTGGAGTGCGTGTGGCGTGCATGTGGTGTGTGCATGGCATGTGTGTGGAGTGCGTGTGGCGTGCATGTGGTGTGTGCATGGGATGTGTGTGGAGTGCGTGTGGCGTGCATGGTGTGTGCATGGGATGTGTGTGGAGTGCGTGTGGCGTGCATGTGGTGTGTGCATGGCATGCGCCTGGCGTGTACCTGTCGTGTGTGTGCTTGCAGGTTTCCGCGGGGTTGGTTCAACTGTGGTGTCTGTATGGCTACTCACTGGCCGTCTACATCCCCATCTCGGTGCGTGCAAGGGGCGAGGGGCATTGTGCAAGGGACATGGGGCATGGGGCATGGTGCAAGGGGCATGGGGCATGGGGCATGGGGCAAGGGGCAAGGGGCATGGGGCGTGGGGCATGGGTCAAGGGGCAAGGGGCAAGGGGCAAGGGGCATGGGGCATGGTGCAAGGGGCATGGTGCAAGGGGCAAGGGGCAGGGTGCATGGTGCATGGTTCGTGGTGCATAGTACATGGTGCATGGGGCATGGTGCATGGAGCATGGTGCATGGTGCATGGTGCATGGTGCATGGAGCATGGTGCATGGTGCATGGAGCATGTCACATGGTGCGTGGTGAATGGTGCTGGCCTCCCCAGCGCCCGCTGCTATTTTCCTCTGCCATGCGCCAAGGGCATCAGGCAGCACCATGAATGCCAGCGCATCCATGCACCCTCACGCACATGTGCATTGGCACATGAAACGTCATCCGTCATGCATCTCCCTTGAACGTACTTCCTCTTTGTACCTCTCACCCCCCCTTCCCCTTCTCCCCTCCCCCGCCCCCTTCTCCCCCCCTTCCCGTCCCCCGGCAGTTCATAACGGTGCTGCCGCTGGACCTGCTGCGCTGGCTCATAGTGCTGGGCGCCACGGCCATCTCGTGCTTCTTCCTGGGCGTCAACCTGCGCGCGCAGATCACAGTGGGCCACGAGATGTGGTTCCCCATCGTTGTCGGTGCTGTGCTGCTGCAGGCCGGCCTGGGGGTTCTCCTCAAGCTCTACTTCTTCACCTACATTCAGCTCTAGGCCCCGCTTTTGAGGTGCCTCAAAAGACTCAGCTCTAGGCCCTGCTTTTGAGGTGCCTAAAAATACTTTCAGCTCTAGGAAAGGTCATGCTGGAAAGCTGTAACGAGCGTGTTTTGTTACACAAGTACCCAGAATGCACTCATGGCAAAGCTGATGGATGGCACTCACACATGCCTATGCCTTGCCAGGCTTGTCTCCCAGAATGTGAACAGCGGAACAAGGTTGGATTAGCAAGCATGAGAAACAATACAAACCCTAAAGAATTGTACTCACTAAAATCTACTTCACTGTAGCCAATCACAGATATGAACATAGTTTGACACACCCCCACAAACGAAAGGAGGGGCGGAAGACCACATGGCTGCGCTTGTCTGGGCCTATTGCCAAGCCAGCAAGGGCGTGGGAGGGTTGCGAGCATCATCGGTCATCGGCGCTCGCGAATGAAGAGCGCCCGCTGCACTTCCTGCACATATGCGGACCCTTCCGCGTTCTGGGGCTGGAAGCGCTCGTTCCGAGCGCTTTTCTTCCGCCGGGTCACGTGGATGCGCTTGTCTGGGCCTATTGCCAAGCCAGCAAGGGCGTGGACGGGTTGCGAGCATCTTCAGTCATCGGCGCTCGCGAACGAAGAGCGCCCGCTGCACTTCCTGCACATGTGCAGATCCTTCCGCGTTTTGGGGCTGGAACCGCTCGTTCCGAGCGTTTTTCTTCCGCCGGGTCACGTGGTTGCGCTTGTCTGGGCCTATTGCCAAGCCAGCAAGGGCATGGGGCGGTTGCGAGCGTCATCGGTCATCGGCGCTCGCGAATGAAGAGCGCCCACTGCACTTCCTGCACATGTGCGGATCGTTCCGCGTTTTAGGGTTGGAAGCGCTCGTTTCGAGCATTTTTCTTCCGTCGGGTCATGTGGTTGCGCTTGTCTGGGCTATTGCCAAGCCAGAAAGGGTGTGGGAAGGTTGCGAGCATCATCGGTCATTGGCGCTCGCGAATGAAGAGCGCCCGCTGCACTTCCTGCACATGTGCGGATCCTTCCGCGTTTTAAGGCTGGAAGCGCCCGTTTCGAGTGTTTTTCTTCCGCCGGGTCATGTGGCTGCGCTTGTCTGGGCCTATTGCCAAGCCAGCAAGGGCGTTGGAGGGTTGCGAGCATCATCGGTTAACGACGCTCGCAAATGAAGAGCGTTCGCTTCACTTCCTGCACATGCCGGATCCTTCAGCGTTTTGGGGCTGGAAGCGCTCGTTCCGAGTGTTTTTCTTCCGCCGTATCACGTGGGTGCGCTTGTCTGGGCCTATTGCCAAGCCAGCAAGGGCGTGGGATTGTTGCGAGGATCATCGGTCATCGGCGCTCGCGAATGAAGAGCGCCCGCTGCACTTCCTGCACATGTGCGGATCTTTCTGCGTTAAGGGGCTGGAAGTGCTCGTTCCGAGCGTTTTTCTTCCGCCGTGTCACGTGGTTGCGCTTGTCTGGGCCTATTGCCAAGCCAGCAAGGGTGTGGGAGGGTTGCAAGCATCATCGGTCATCGGAGCTCGCGAATGAAGAGCGCCCGCTGCACTTCCTGCACATGTGCTGATCCTTCCGCGTTTTGGGGCTTGAAGCGCTCGTTCCGAGCGTTTTCCTTCCGCCGAGTCATGTAGCTGCGCTTGTCTGGGCTTATTGCCAAGCCAGCAAGGGCGTGGGAGGGTTGTGAGCATCATCGTTCATCGGCACTCGCGAATGAAAAGCGCCCGCTGCTCTTCCTGCACATGTGCGGATCCTTCCGCGTTTTGGGGCTGGAAGCGCTCCTTCCGAGCGTTTTTCTTCCACCAGGTCACGTGGCTGCGCTTCTCTGGGCCTATTACCAAGCCAGCAAGGGCGTGAGAGGATTGCGAGCATCATTGTTCATTGGCGCTCGCGAATGAAGAGCACCCGCTGCACTTCCTGCACATGTGCGGATCCTTCCGCATTTTGGGGCTGGAAGCGCTCGTTCCGAGCGTTTTTCTTCCACCAGGTCACGTGGCTGCGCTTCTCTGGGCCTATTGCCAAGCCAGCAAGGGCGTGGGAGTGTTGCGAGCATCATTGGTCATTGGCGCTCGCGAATGAAGAGCGCCCGCTGCACTTCTTCCACATGTGCAGATCCTTGCGCATTTTGAGGCTGGAAGCGCTCGTTCCGAGCGTTATTCTACCACCAAGCCACGTGGCTGCGCTTGTCTGGGCCTATTGGCAAGCCAGCAAGGGCGTGGGAGGGTTGCAAGCATCATTGGTCATTGGCGCTCGCGAATGAAGAGCGCCCGCTGCACTTCCTGCACATGTGCGGATCCTTGCGCGTTTTGAGGCTAGAAGCGCTCGTTTTGAGCGTTTTTCTTCCACCGGGTCACGTGGCTGCGCTTGTCTGGGCCTATTGCCAAGCCAGCAAGGGCGTGGGAGGGTTGCGAGCATCATTGGTTATCGGCGCTCGCGAATGAAGAGCGCCCGCTGCACTTCATGCACATGTACGGATCCTTGAGCATTTTGAGGCTGGAAGCGCTCGTTACGAGCGTTTTTCTTCCACCTGTTCATGTGGCTGCGCTTGTCTGGGCTTATTGCCAAGCCAGCAAGGGCGTGGGAAGGTTGCGAGAATCACTGGTCATCGGCGCTCGCGAATGAAGAGCGCCCGCTGCACTTTCTGCACATGTGCGGATCCTTGAGCGTTTTGAGGCTGGAAGCGCTCGTTCCGAGTGCTTTTCTTTCCACCGGGTCACGTGGCAGCGCTTGTCTGGGCCTATTGCTAAGCCAGCAAGGGCGTGGGAGGGTTGCGAGCATCACTGGTCATTGGCGCTCGCGAATGAAGAGCGCCCGCTGCACTTGCTGCACATGTGCGGATCCATCGACGTTTTGGGGCAGGAAGCGCTCGTTCCGAGCGTTTTCCTTCCGCCGGGTCATGTAGCTGCGCCTTTCTGGGGTTATTGCCAAGCCAGCAAGAGCGTGGGAGAGTTGCGGGCATCATCGTTCATCGGCGCTCGCGAATGAAGAACGCCCGCTGCACTTCCTGCACATGTGCGGATCCTTTGCGCGTTTTGAGGCTGGAAGCGCTCGTTCCGAGCGTTTTTTTTTTTCCACCGAGTCACATGGCTGCGCTTGTCTCGGCCTATTGCCAAGCCAGCAAGGGCGTGGGAGGGTTGCGAGCATCATTGGTCATCGGCGCTCGCGAATAAAGAGCGCTCGCTGCACTTCCTGCACATGTGCGGATCCTTGCGCGATTTGAGGCTGGAAGCGCTCGTTCCGAGCGTTTTTCTTCCACCGGGTCACGTGGCTGCGCTTGTCTGGGCCTATTGCCAAGCCAGCAAGGGCGTGGGAGGGTTGCGAGCATCATTGGTCATCGGCGCTTGCGAATGAAGAGCGCCCGCAGCACTTCCTCCACATGAATCCTTGCGCGTTTTGAGGCTAGAAGCGCTCGTTTCGAGCGTTTTTCTTCCACCGGGTCACGTGGCTGCGCTTATCTAGGCCTATTGTCAAGCCAGCAAGGGCGTGGAAGGGTTGCGAGCATCATTGGTCATCGGCGCTCGCGAATGAAGAGCGCCCGCTGCACTTCCTGCACATGTGCGGATCCCTTTCGCGTTTTGAGGCCAGAAGCGCTCGTTCCGAGCGTTTTTCTTCCACCAGGTCATGTGGCTGCGCTTGTCTGGGCCTATTGCCAAGCCAGCAAGGGCGTGGGAGGGTTGTGAGCATCATTGGTCATCGGCGCTCGCGAATGAAGACCGCCCGCTGCACTTCCTCCACATGGGCTGATCCTTGCGCGTTTTGAGGCTGAAAGCGCTCGTTCCGAGCGTTTTTTTTTCCACCGTGTCACATGGCTGCGCTTGTCTGGGCCTATTGCCGAGCCAGCAAGGGCGTGGGAGGGTTGCGAGCATCATTGGTAATTGGCGTTCGTGAATGAAGAGCACCCGCTGCACTTCCTCCACATGTGCGGATCCTTGCGCGTTTTGAGGCTAGAAGCGCTCGTTCCATGCGCCACCGAGTCACGTGGCTGCGCTTGTCTGGGCCTATTGCCAAGCCAGCAAGGGCGTGGGAGGGTTGCAAGCATCATTGGTAATCGGCGCTCGTGAATGAAGAGCGCCTGCTGCACTTCCTGCACATGTGCGGATCCTTGCGCGTTTTGAGGCTAGAAGCGCTCGTTTTGAGCGTTTTTCTTCCACCGGGTCACGTGGATGCGCTTGTTTGAGTCTTTTGCCAAGCCAGCAAGGGCCTGGGAGGGTAGCGAGCATCATTAGTCATCGGCTCTCGCGAATGAAGAGCGCCCGCTGCACATCCTCCACATGTGCGGATCTTTGCGCGTTTTGAGGCTGAAGCGCTCGTTCCAATCATTTTTGTTCCACCGGGTCACGTGGCTGCGCTTGTTTGGGCCGATTGCCAAGCCAGCCAGGGCGTGGAAGGGTTGCGAGCATCATTGGTCATCGGCGCTCGCGAATGAAGAGCTCCCGCTGCACTTCCTGCACATGTGCGGATCCTTGCGCGATTTGAGGCTGGAAGCGCTCGTTCCGAGCGTTTTTCTTCCACCCTGGTCACGTGGCTGCCCTTGTCTGGGCCTATTGCCAAGCCAGCAAGGGCGTGGGAGGGTTGCGAGCATCATTGGTCATCGGCGCTTGCGAATGAAGAGCGCCCGCAGCACTTCCTCGACATGGATCCTTGCACGTTTTGAGGCTAGAAGCGCTCGTTCCGAGCGTTTTTCTTCCACCGGGTCACTTGGCTGGGCTTGTCTGGGCCTATTGCCAAGCCAGTAAGGGCGTGGAAGGGTTGCGAGTATCACTGGTCATCGGCGCTCGCGAATGAAGAGCGCCCGCTGCACTTCCTGCACATTTGCGGATTTTGAGGCTAGAAGCGCTCGTTCCGAGCGTTTTTCTTCCACCGGGTCACGTGGCTGCACTTGTCTGGGCCTATTGCCAAGCCAGCAAGGGCGTGGGAGGGTTGCGAGCATCATTGGTCATCGGCGCTTGCGAATGAAGAGCGCCCGCAGCACTTCCTCCACATGGATCCTTGCGCGTTTTGAGGCTAG